TATTTTCCCATTGTGGTAGTCAACATAAATAAATGGTCAGTGACTTTTGCTGTTTCAGAATCATTCTGAAACATTCAGTGTACAAAAAGAGATCTAAACCAATTAAGTCAAATTATAGTAGAGTTCTAGATATACACGCACAAAGGCTTTGGGATGTGTGTTTATTTATTTCAAAAGATACCATGGGTCACAAAAATATGTCTTAGTGTTTTGTGGTCCCCCCCTTTGTTGTTTAACTTGTATTTTTGGATAGTTGAATGAACAATTTTTCCCAATCAGAAAACTTGTAATTTATATCCCATCATGCTCTTTGGAAGAACTTCGTTACTGACCTCTCTTGGGTACCTCTCATTTATCTGTTCTTAAAAAACAAAAAGCCTTCTCATTTATTTGTGGAGTCAAAACTGCAATCTTCACAGAAGAGCAAAAGCATCTCCAGTTCCCTAAATGAGAAACGGTTTCTCTGGCTTGCTGCCTCTCTGCTGTGCTTCTCATTGCCAGTTTTGACCTTCTTCTCAGACAGCAGTATCAACAGTCCCTGTTACCATGGCAACAATGATAGGCTAATAGAATTAGAATGTCTCGGGGCACCATTCTAGCATCATGCTCTTAGAACAAAAGAAGACAATACAATTGTGAAATACAATTTGTAATAACTTAGGGTCTGGGAGGTATTCTTTTTAGATTTATGTCACTTACTGGTACAAGGTTATGAATGCTAAAATCAGCCATGGAATAAATGGAGCCTGACATGTAGAAGAATGCAGATAGATTCATATCTATCCCCATGTACAAAACTTAAGTCCACACTGAACCTCTTAGAAGAGAAAGTGGGAAGTACCCTTGAATGTATTGGCACAGGAAACCACTTCCTGAACATAACACCAGCAAGCACAGACACTGAGATCGACAATTAATAAATGGAATCTCTTGAAACTGAGAAGCTTTCGTAAGACAAAGGACACAGTCAACAAGACAAAATGCAGCCCACAGAATGGGAAAAGATATTCACCAATCCCACATCTGACAGAGGACTGATCTCCAAAACATACAAAGAATTTAAGAAACTAGTCATAAAAATAACCCAATTTAAAAATGAGGTATAGATCTATATAGAGAATTCTCAACAGAGGAATCTCAAATGACTTAAAGGTAATTAAGGAAATGCTCAACATCCTTAGCCATCAGGAAATAGCAAATCAAACCAACTCTTAGACACCATCTTACACCTGTGAGAATGGCAAAAATAAAAAGCACTGATGACAGCTTATGCTGGAGAGGATGTAGAGAAAGGGAAACACTCCTCCATTGCTGGTGTGAACGCAAACTTGTATAGCCACTTTGTAAATCAGTATGGCGATTTCTCAGAAAATTGGGAATTGATTCATCTCAAGACCCAGCAATACCACTCTTGGACATATACCCAAAGGATGCAAACTCATACCACAAGGATATTTGTTCAACTATGTTCATAGTAGCATTACTTGCAATAGCCAGAACCTGGAAGCAAACTAGATGCCCCTCAACTGAAGAATGGATACAGAATGCAGTACTACTCAGCTGTAAAAACAATGACATCTTGAAATTCACAGGCAAATGGATGGAACTAGAAGAAGTTATCCTGAGTGAGGTAACCCAGACACAGAAAGACAAACAGGGTATGTACTCACATATAAGTGGATATTGGACATAGAGCAAAGGATAACCAGTCTATAATCCACACCCCAGAGATGCTAGGAAACAAAGAGGACCCTAAGAGAGACATATATAGATTTCCTGCTCTCCAAGAAGAGGAAAAAGACAAGATCTCCTGAGTAAATTGGGAGCATGGAGGGTGGCTGGTAGGTGAAAGAGGAGGTGAGTCCATTCCCTATGGAGGGATACTTTCCTTAGCCTAGATACAGTGGGGTGGGCCTTAGTCCTGTCCCAAATGATGTGACAGACTTTGATGATTCCCCATAGGAGGCCTCACCTTCTCTGAGGAGTGGATGGGGGTGGGATGGAGAGATGGTGGGGAAAGTGGGAGGACAGGAGGGAGAGGGTCTTGAGATTGATATGTAAAATAAGACTTTAAAAAATCAGCCATAAAAATAGCACCAGAAGTCTGTATTAAGTAAGAGATTTCTGTTATGTAAGTTTATTAATAGGATTCTCTCTAAGGGTATTCTTGTTTTACCTCAAGGGGCTGAAAATTTCACACCTCCTCTGCAGCCCTTCTAAGCACAGAAAATCACAGAACACACTAAGGACTTGGTTTCCCAAGCTTCCACATTCAGCACTCACATTTGTTTGAAACTTGTTTTGGAAAACAGTTTTTTGTTGTTTCTTCGTTAGCTTTCTACTATAATAAATACTGGACGTAACTATGAAGAGCAAAGGTTTGTGTGACTCACAGATTTTGTTATTATAGTTCATGATTGGCTCATGGGCAGCGACCAACTTCCAGTGCTTTTAAGAGTGAAAAACAGAATAGTAAAAATGAGGCCTAAAAGTCAGCAGCACACGGAGGGATATCCCATTTTCTGGGATTCAGGGCACTGAAAAGAGTTATACTCCAAATCCAGAGACATGTTAAAATGACTTTTCACTGTACAAAACTCTAAGCAGACATAGAAGAGTGGTGGGCAGTAAGGTTTTGAAAGCAGGATAAATTTAACAATTAAATTCTGATGTTGCATCTTCTGTATAATTGTGACATTGTTGGATATTCCAATAATAAAGCTGACATAAAGGAGAAGTGTCCAGATTTAGATTTAGCTCCTAGGTTAGTGCTTCTATTAGAAGTGGAGAAAGGATATTTAAAAACTGGACTTATGTATAATAGCACTTTTCACAGTTGTCCTTGTTTGATGGATATAACTCTCCTCTTTGCGGATCTTCTATAGTTCATAAGCTATTATTTTAAACAAATATATGACCACTGATATTAAGCATACTCCCACTTGGTATGTTCTTGAGTTGATCCATGGTTTCAAGTTTTAAAAAGGAAATTAAAAATTAGGCTAAGAGGGCAGAGTCCTGTTTTAAGAAGAGTTTTATAAATGGAAGTCATAATTGTCTTCGACCATTCTGATGTTTTTTAATTTTCTGAACAAGCCTTTTGGTTTTCCCCTCAAGGACATTTACATATATTTCCACAGCTTCAAAGGTACCCCTGTCTCTGCCTCTTAAAATTTCACACACTCAGAATCCCCTCATTTTGTTAGACTCCAGCATAACAGCTTCTCTTTCTAAAGGCTCATCTCTTCTACTTTAGCAACAGGGGAATTTTTTACTATGTCCTTTTAAATTGTGTCTACTTCTGTAGTCTTTGCAATTCTTTTCATCTTTTTATTATGTTTTTATTTCTATATTATATAATTTTACCCTACCACAAGTATCATGTTTATTTTATTCACCTATGTAGACTTAGATCAGAAATTCTGATATGTCACAGGTATCATGTCTATTTTATTCACCTGTGTAGTCTAATCAAAAATTCTGATATGGCACAGGTATCATGTCTATTTTATTCACCTATGTGTACTAGATCTGGAAATTCTGATATGGTGGATACTCAATAAATATTGCTTAAATGAGTAACTACAAGTGTACATATGAAGGAAGTAAAAGAAATTCATGAGGACAGAACATACAAGGCTGTGAAAGGATAAAAGTATGAAAATGAGTGATGAATGAGACAGACAGTGGGCAGTTACTTTCTTAACACATAGTGGCCAGGAGTCAATTTTTTCAAAGGAAATAAGATAGTTTATTCAGGAGCCAAACATGAGTTATGGCCTGAGAAGACTGATTCAGATTACTCCAAATTATGTAATAGTAATAGTTTTGTCAAGTTTTTACAGTAATACAGCAAAAAGATGAATTGAGGTCTTTTTTCAGATTTGTGGAGATATCAGCCAGGAGCCAATTTTAAGCAGAATGAGGTTGCAGAGTATAGAGAAAGATAATGAAAAACAAGGAGCCCAATTATTTCAATTATTCATACACACACACAAAGTACTCTGTGTCAACTAGAGATGGTTCTTAAACTAAGAAAACATGTCATAATTTTACATGTTTATATTTGCCACATCTATTCTAGGTTTTATATGTGAACAGTGCTTAAGATACTTACAGAGCATTCATTGCCTGAGTGAATGAAGAAATGCAAAGATTTATCTACTGAACACAGCAGCCTAATTTCATTTTAGCTTAAGACAGGCATGAATTATAATTATTAAGTGTGTATTATATATCAAGCATATGGTTTATAATACTAAAGATATTTCTACTACTCTGAGAAACCTATGTGAAGGCTAGAGATGCTTCATTAGAGTGAAGAAATTTTAGAACATTTTAAACATACATGCAGTGTGTGTTATATGTACATAGATGCACAAATATGTTTAGTAGTTTATAGAACTTTTATTAAGATTTATTTATTATATATACAGTGTTCTGCCTGCATGTATGCCTACAGGCCAGAAGAGGGCACCAGATCTCATTATAGATGGTTTTGAGCCACAATGTGGTTGCTGGGAACTGAACTCTGGATCTCTGGAAGTGTTCTTAACTGCTGAGCCTTCTTTTCAGCTCCAGTTCATAGAATATTTTAAGTGAATCATCCCCCTCTCAAGGATGAACTGAAAGGCTAGTAGACTCAGACTCCCATAGCTGGTAATTTAGTGAGGGAATGCTTTCTGTGATACAAAAGAAAAAAAAAAGACATGTTGCATCCCAATGTCTAGATTTTCTAGAGTATACAGTAGTAAATGGAGAAGGCATGGATATTAGGATAATAAAATCAAACTCATGTTTCTCAGAAATAATGGCAGAGGAAGATACTGTATGTTGTTTAATAAAAGAGTAAGATAGTTAATAAATGTAATATGAATTTGTATTTACTCTGTGGGCTAATATACATATACAAATTATATATAGATGTACACACACAAATACTCACACATTATGTAATATGTGCATGGTATTATTTCTCAATACATAATCATATGCAGAAAAGTGATGATTATAAATTTCTCTTTGATTTTGACAAGTTCACTGTATTATTTTTAGTCTTTTAATAAGTGATTTTTTTAGTTCTTTGACACATTTTGATCTTATTTACCAACTCTTCCCCTTAATTCCTGCCTGATCCACCCTCACCTCGATACCCCTCCAACTTCATGCCCACTTTTTTGTGTGTATTTTTAACTTAATAGCTCACTGACTTCAATTTGGACTCAGAGTCCATGTACTTCTGAGTGTGGGACCATCCAACTGCAGCACCTACCAGGAGTCACGCCCTTAAAGGAAACTGCAACTTCCTTCCCCAGAAGGCATCAACTACCCATAGCTCCTCAGCTAGTGGTGCTGCAAATCTGGTCAAGAACTCAAGGTTGGGAGCTTGCGGACCCCAAGAACAAATCCGCCAACTGTTATTTTGATACGTGGGCATATAAAGCTGCCCTATAAATTTGTATCACCCTTCTCATAGGTTAGTACAGCTCTCAGACCTCATTAGAGAAGTTTCTTTATTTGGTGGATAGCGGTTAATGCAGAAGCTCACTGCTGGTCAAAGTAGGAGTAACTGTGGAGTGCTTAGCCACAAATGGTATGTCTATACCACATGTCCTTTGCACGGCTCAGGGACCATTGCAGAAAAAGGGAGAAGAAAGATTACAGAAACTAGAGGCTGGGAAGGACAGGAGCAAACCAGTGTTTTTTTTGTATATAGCAAGACTGCTGGACTCATGAACTCACAGTAGTTATTGTTGCCTGTACACAACTTGCACATGACCAAGCCAATATGGGAAAGGGATATATGCCCTAAGATTTCTCAGAGACTACAGACAGAGGACTCTCTGCTTTAACTGCATTGGTCCATAAGGGGTGAATCACTTTTGCTCATTTCTTATTGGCCAAAGCTGGCACTTTGTTACTTTTGTCCTTAAAAGCAAAAAGCCAAACAGTTCTCTAGTTTTGTAAGCATTGGAACACCTCTAGTCTACACACTGGAGTAGGCAAAAATTTTTAATGTGTCTAGTGAAACTTTGTCTTCAACTTTTTCTATTGAGTGTTTTGTGCATTTTGAAAACTAATATCAACAAATATCTTAGGTTATAACAAACATTGGTTCTCCTCTCTTCTAGGTATTTAGGTAGCATACTCACTAGCAACATTTCAACACAATCTTACAACTTAAAAAGGTTTCTTGGGTGCTTGCCAGAGTGATGGAAAACACTCGGAGCAGGTGCAGGGGACCTTCTCTATCCAGCAGTGACTGGGTAGACCATCTATCAGTGTCCATCACCTGGATTGCTGTTGCTGATCTGGCTGGCTTGGAGGATTTTCCATTCTTCCTTTGTCGCTCCACATCTCCTTTCCAAACCCCTCCCTGTATCACAGAGAACACTCCCTACTTGCAGAAGTAGGAACACAACCAAACACAAGTTCTTTCTTTCACAGTGTGAAAGCTTGTCTTTAGCAATGTGCTGAGAACATGAAGATGTCTATTGAAACTTTGCCTTATGCAGTGGCTAACCAGCTACTTCATTAGAATCAACATTGCAGGTAGTATGCAGGTAGTATCACTGTTCTTGGAAAGATTGCTTGGGGAGAGTTGGAGAAAAACTTGCACTTAGAGATGATTGGGGCCCCTGTGTCCTACCTGTTTATTTTGGGCCTCTATTCTAGACAGTAAACTGCAGAGTTGTTACTGCTAAGATGATTTCAACACCCATCATCTGCTTAGACATTCAAGCCTCTTACGTCCTTGTCCCATACTTACTGTCTGTCTCGTCTCAGGCCACTTGATTGCACTTGTTCTGTTGGAGTCCACCATGGATGTTTAATATTTAAAGGCTGGGATCGTTTTGCAGGTTTTAGTTTAATGGTAACCATAGCACGCATGCACATCCATTATTGATAGACATGGCACACTGCACATCCTTGGGCATCCTCTTTTCTTTCACTCTTAGTGTCACGGGAGAGCTACTGTCTCTGGAATTCAGCTCTGTTGTTGTTGTGGCAAAGGGACGAACTGACAGCAGACCCATAATGGTGTGAACTGTTCATGTGGGCGGAGGTGACCATGTTAAAAAGAGAGACAAAGGCAGACAGTGACAGGCCACGGAAAGTCCGATTTCGGATTGCCTCATCTCACAGTGGGAGAGTTCTGAAAGAAGTCTATGAAGATGGACAGCCACCGGGCTCTCTGGATTCTGAATGTGCCAGCGTCTGCGGAATAGATGGACTCAAAGATGCTGAGGGACAGCAAAATGGCCACATTGGATCAGAAGATAATGAACACGAGAGAGATCAGGATAACTTGTTGGTATTAGCCAGGACAGCCAGTGAGAAGACTTTTGGTACAAGAAGAGTCAACATTTTAAGCAAAAATGGTACAGTCAGAGGCGTCAAATACAAAGTGAGTGCTGGCCAAGCTCTGTTTAACAATTTGACCAAAGTGTTACAGGTAAGTCATTACACTTTCCTGCTCTGAGCTTTGTTCCTCACTCACAATCTCAAGCCCTCTCAGCTCTCCAGGGTAGATTCATCTTATTCTTAATACTTCATGGGACACTCTCCATCTAGGACACTGTATGCACAGCCACAATTATAAATAAGCTCAATGTTCTTGGCAAACTGGATTGCCTTCTCATAACCAAATTTCTGACATGTACGTGATCTCCTCTGATGTGTGATGAATAGCACAGGACCTCTGTTTCTTAACAAAGAAAGAAGATGGCAGACTAGAGTGTTTAAAGCATTTCTTCAATACCTAGAAGTTAATTTCTCTCTGGTCTATCATCCTTAGATCAGCATTGTTTGACTCTTATGTTGACAGTTGCACCAGAAAAGCTGAGTGCTCGCTTTTGGTATAAATGGGTTCAGTGATACAGTTATAAAGACCATTGGGACTTCTTCCCATTTTCAAGGATGGTGTATCTTTTCTGCTGTCCATTTCTCCATTAGTTTGTTCATAATAGCTTTAGAGCCATAGTTGGAACAGCTATAAAAATACAGAGATTCAGATTTCATAGTAAACAAACTTAACATGTGCTAGGTTCTGGGCACAAGTGTGTTATTTATATCTGATGCCTCTAACAATGACCCAATGTTCAGGAAATTTCCTGGAAGTATTAGTAGAATTAATTTTTGTTTTTGTTAAAAATATCAGCCCAGGAATAGTAGTTATAATTTCTGTGATTAAAGTAGCAACTCATTGTTTTCACTGTAAATATATTTTCTATTATTTTTAATATTTAAGTAAAATGACCTCTCATAATAAACTATTCAACACTTCTGCATTCTACAAGGAAGCAGGGATGATAGAAAAGGCTTCAACCTAAATATCACTCCAATATATTTTACTTCAAAGGAAGTTCATGAAAAGATCAAATTATGAGAACTTAAGAAAGAAATTGGAATCTTAATGAAAAAAATGGCAGCTAAGAGTGGTGGTTATTTACATATATAGAACTTATTCATGGATGATTTAATAGGCTAAGAATGGGAGTCAAAATCAGAGACTGATAATCATGCTTTGCAAGATAAGGAATGTTCTTAGATAAACTGGGAGAGATTTGCTACTGGGCTTAAAAAAAAACCTTACAGGAATGAGTTTTATTCATTATAAACATCCTTACTGTCAAGCTGGAGAGGAAGCTTCTGTGTCACAATAGGTGCTACAATGTGTGCATTTCCCCTGGCCAACTCAGCTTCCTATTATTTGAATTGCTGTATGGTTTGCAGGTTTGTCCATGAAACTGCTGTTATCATTTTAGTACTTTGATTTGCATTTGTTTATCAGCCTCTCAAGAAAACTGTCACTTGCGAATAAATACCATAAACTCCAAAACTTACAAGGAAAACCCTAGTTTCCTCCTTCCTTTTCCACCCCAATAGTGCTGCAAAAGCACAATTGAGAGACAAAGGAAACTTTAAAGTCAAAACCTGACCATTAGATTCCCTCAATAAATATTTACTTGCATAGTTTTCTATGCATAGCTTGATGAACAATTTTATGAGAACAAACCTAGTAAAACTTTTTTGATCATCTTGTCTACCCCAAGCTTATAACAACCAGAGTTTGTAGTCACAAAGTTTTGGCATTATCTTTAGTTTCATCATAATCATCATTACCATAAGATGAATGTTATTTGACATCTTCTGGGAGAAACAGGGTAAAGGACCTGTGGCTTTGAACCAAGGCTGACAGTTGCAATACTCAGAGGGGCTCCATTCTCTTCACTGTAGGAACAGTAACTGGGTAATATGAGCAAAAAGACTTTTGGGGAATTATGTGGAGAACTTATTTGGTTCTTTACTACTTCATAAAGAGTGTTCTTATCATAAAGGGTACCCTATGTCTTGTCCTTGGATGACTGAGATGAACAGGCTTCAATAGATCTCTCTATCTCTATAGAGAAAGCAGCAGAGAAACATAGTGGAAGCTAATCATGCCATTGCAGACATTCCCACTACCAGGTGTGACTTCTTGGCTTTGCATTTTCCATCACTTTTGCAAACCATGCAGCAAACTGGCCTGAATGTCACTATAACTTAGTGATGTATTTCAGGAAGGAAAAAGTGAGCAAGCAGTTTCTCTAACATCTGGTTGAAGTTTTGTATAAGACCCATCTCAGTGAACAAGGAACCGTGATTGAAGAAACAGACCTTTCTTCCTGTTTTAGGGTATAATATCTTAAAGCACTCAATTTGAAACTTGAGGGGAAGTGCTAAATAAAAATAAAAGCATCAGGGTCTGTGTGAGACGTTTGGCTTCCTCTCTGTTATTTCCTTGTGTGGTTATTCCATTGTCATACATCACTGACTCCACTTTCCAAAACTTTAAGCTGTACTGAGAGGAGTTGATGAAACGATCCTTTAAAACATTTTTACTTCTTGGTGGTACTTATTTAGAAACTTGACTCTCAAGTGGACAGCTGAACTAGTTTCTATTAATTTATGCCACAGAATACCAGACAATGGAGGATGTCCAATATTTACCAAGGTGATGGTTATTGGCTGCAAGAAGTGAAGAGACTGTGGTCGGTCACCTGGTGGCTAGGTGGGCTTGACAGAGGAGTGGGGCTCAGATGAATCATTCAAGGATCTCTGGATTATAGGTCTTCAAATGCAGAGGCTGGATTTTGTTTTACTCCTGCCACAGGTATCAAGAAGGCAAAGCTAAAGAGAGGCTAACTTGGAAATCTGAAAGCCTAATATCTAGTTTTAGACTGAAAATGTGGGTTGACTAGAATCTCTCAAACTAAAGCTTGAAATTTGCTTCTGTTTGAGGCTTTCCAATTTATCCTTACACATGTCAACATTTGAAAATAACTCAGCAGCTGTGCAAACGGTCAATTTACCTGGGTGCCCAGGGTAAAATAAGAGTCCTTTCCATTGCCTATTCTGTCAATATTTAATGGGGAAAAAATGAAGGAGACCTTCATGAGATTCTGATCGGCTTAGGTTACTGGGCGGATCCCCTGGAGCTGAAGACAAGGCATGCTTCCTAGTCAAGACTAAACCTGTAAGTTAGTTGAGTTGAGACAGACACGCTCACAGATGTTACCAATGCCATCTAAGGTGGGTGGCCTCTGTAGCACTGACAATTCTGCTCTAAGGACTTTTACTCCTGATTATAGGGAAAATTTACAACCCCCCCACTACTTTTTCCCCAACACTAGTCAGCTATCACATGCAAAACAAATTATAAGGGTGGCACACAGCTCTCACAACCCAGTTTGCAGATGAAGCTGAGGTACTCTTTGTTCTTAGCGCAAGTGTCTTGGTGTGGATTCATGATGAGGATAATCAAGGTTGTCTAGGCTTATCAATATATTGTTATGGATCTGTATTTTAGATGGCTGTCATTCCTTGACCTTATCCTCAAACTATGTTAGGATATTCTTGTAGAATATACCATTTTAGTTTCCATAATTTTAATTTCCTCTTGGCCAAATTTAAGATTGTCAAAGAAGAATGAGCCCAAAGAAGGACCTTGAATACATAGATTATGTCTGCATACATGTGTTTTGTTATTGAATCTGTACCTAGAAGCATTTTAATGTTTTAAGATGAAAAAGTGGTATGTTGACATAGTAATTTGCATCACATGAAGAGATTTCTTGTATATTGCTTTTACCTAAAAATCTTATGGAAGAAGCAAGGAAATTATTATTATGTCCCTGGTGATAATTAGAAAGGAATTCTTACTTGTTTGTAACTTTTAAAAATTATTATTATAATACATGCAATCTATACTTTTTGATAATGTTTTTAATGTTATTGGTCAAATATCTGGTTCAAAATAAATAATACATGAATTACAACATTTCTTCTTTTAAAAGTATAATATCAAATATAAAAATGTCCAAATTTACATTTAAAAGTTTATAATGATGAGCAAAAATATATAATATATATAATTTATAAGACTAAATATACCATGTTATATACCTTTTAAAATTTTATCATTTGTGAGGTTTTAAATTTTTTCTATTTTTATTTAAATTAGAAACAAGCTTGTTTTACATGTTAATCCTAGTTCCCTCGCCCTCCCCACCTCCCCTGCTCCCCACTAACCCCCTATCCCATCTCCTTTATGCTCCCCAGGGAGGGTGAGGCCTTCCATGGGAGATCTTCAAAGTCTGTCATATCATTTGGAGCAGGGCCTAGGCCCTCCCCAATGTGTCTATGCTGAGAGAGTTTCCCTCTTTGTGGAATGGGTGAGGTTTTAAATTTTGTCATTTGTTTAATGTTTGGTTTTCATCTAGGGAAATTCTGAAGAAACAGACAGCATTTATTCAGCTTTAAGAGTATGCTAAAAACTATCAAAAGTCATAATTTCTAGGCCGGGCGGTGGTGGCGCACGCCTTTAATCCCAGCACTCAGGAGGCAGAGGCAGGTGGAACTCTGTGAATTTGAGGCCAGGCTGGACCGATAGCCTCCAAAACAATACAGAGAAACCCTGTCTCGTAGAAACCAAAAAAAAAAAAAGTCATCATTCATCATTTCTAATTGATTAAGTAGTCATGAGATTGTAAGGGTTTGCCTTAAGAAAACCTGGTCCTTGGATTTGTCCACTGAGTCAGGATGTATGATAGTCTCAGAAGTTTCTGGAAGTATGTCTATCCATCTCTGGCTCATGGAATATAGATCTGGCAGTATACTATTATTCCTGCCAATATTCTTGATGACTCTGTGGTCTTGGTGGCTTACTTGAAACATTCTGTAAAAGCAGAAGTAGTCATACTTAATGCTAATTATGTAGCTTCTCAATACCAGGCAGTGCTCATATTACATATGTGTACTGACATATTAATTATTCACAGGAATCTTAAAAACAGTATTGGTATTAACAAATTAGTTAGTGTGGACTTCTTTTTTTCTATATGAGAAAAAATTAACTTGTAGAATTTAAAATGTCATTTTCCAGAAAAATTGTTTCAAACAACTTGCATGGAC